CCCCCCCACCCCACCCCCCAAAAAACCCCAAACAACAAAACCAAAAGACTCCACATAGTTTCATGCTTGGAGTACAACATTGTAACAAATGGTATTTTTTTTTTCTTGATTGATTGATAATACAATGAAATATAGTTACCTACCTTAAGTTCTCTAAAAAAGATGCTACTCCTAGCCCATTCAACAATGGAGAAGAGGGTTTGGTCTGCCATTTTACACATAAGCCCAAATGTGTTGAGCTTCTCATGTTTGCTTCTGTTGGCTTGCTCTTGCTGCAGATATGCCATGATCTTAGCTTGGACTTGCGGCTCGTCTGGCTCACATTTCAGGAGTTCCAGTATCAGATGGGGAATACTTGCTGGTGAGCTTGTTTGATAACTATCCATGTATGAGTAGCCCATTATTGACTCTGGTGAACTAGTGTAAGGGTCGGGGTACTCAGACTTGATAGCACGGCTTGGAAAATGGCCATAGGTTTGGTAACCTTGCAAACTGCCATGGGGTGGCATTGTCATACTAATTGGAGAGGTTACAAAGGGACTTCTGTCATAGTCTGTAGGAGGCAAGGCAGTATGGTTCAGAGGTAGGCCTTTGGAGGCAGAATGGATGTTCTGGATTGCAGAGGATATTGTCAGGTCAGTCGGCATTGCTTGAATCACCTGAGTCATGGCTTCCAGTTTAAGTCCATTTGCTCGGATAAGAGCTTTCTTCTGCTGCTTCAGTGCCCTGTCTCTCTTGTACATTGGTCCAAACTTGTTCCGACCACCACGCATTCGGTCAGCTCGCACAGCTGTGAGGGGAGAGGACGAAGTAAATCATAATTAAAACTTGGAATCAACATTCTTTAATGAAACATACATAAGGACAGAGCAGAAATATAAAAATGTAACTCTTCTGTGTTGTTGTTTTTTGGGTTTTTTTTAAATTCAAAGTTGCACTTTTATTCCTAAAGAAGATTTATTTTGACTTAACAAATGTCAGTTTTTTTCTGGTAATTTAAGTATCACATGCATATATTACTAATATAGAAGGACTTCTCTTTACATTGATTAGGACGTGGGGACAAACACAATGGTTGGCTACAGGAATTTCACACCTGCTATGGGATCATGTGAAGATCTCAATGTATATTTGGTTTTATGTCAAGCTACTATGTCATAAAGAAACAAAGGCTGATGTCCAGAATTTGTCTGAGATGTATGCAGCGGGCCACACTGTCTCATTATAATCATTCCATTACTGCCTTCCACTGCAGCAAAACATCTGAAACATAAATTGCGCAATGTTCAGTAGTCACAAAAGGGAATAAGTTTTTCTTGGCAAGAAGGAAATATTTCCTTTTGAGGATTCTGTAAAACTTTCAGAGATTTCTAGTTAGCTGAAGAGCTCTACAGAAATGTTTAGCTGCAGTTGGAATGTACAGAGAGAAAGCTGTCAGCTTGCTGTCTTCCACACAGAAGGTGGAAGTGAAACAGAAACTATTGACACTGTTCTGGCTTGTAATATCTCTGGAATTAGAAATAATTAAAACAAATCCACCTCAACAGCTGCCTTGGGAGTCATACTGGTGGTCTCTGTCACAGAAGTGTCTGTCACCATGGTATATATGTAATGGACTAGCAAGGAGCTCTCACCAAGCCCACCTTGCCCAACGGCAATCAGATTGAAAGAGGAACCTTTGACAGCCTGGTGACATGTTGAGACTGCTGAGATTGCTGGAGGTTAAGTTCTTGAGCTTTTTATCTTAGGGATTAGTACGACATTAAAAATTTATTATGAATGCTAGCTACGCATAATACTGTACATTATCATAAGGATTTTAACGTTTAATGATTTTTTTTGTCCATGGTAATTTATGAACTAGACTTTAAGGCTATATATATCACTATCAGGGAAATACACATATAAATGTCACAAGTATTTACTATTATGGAAGCATATGTTCTTCCAATTTTCTAAACAAAGGAAAAGAAATTGTATGGATGTGTGGATAAGGAAACTAAAGTACATTTTCTAGAGTATACATAAAAATATGGGCATTTTGCTTAAATTTGTAGTAGAAAAACTGCTACTAATATTGCTGTTACATGTTGATTTTCAGCATAATGCAGGAAATTAAGATAATTCTATCACCATGCTGGTAAATGTAATTAATTATGCATACATAGTATCCTTCCAGGTACTCTACAACTAAAAACTGTGAGCCAAACTGGATTAGCAAGTGCTTTTGTATAACTCCTACAGAAATTAAGGTGAACTGCATGTAATCACAGAAAACAAAATCTGGTCCTGTATCATTGCCAGCAATTGAAAGGAGTTAAATGTAGGAGCAGCTAAATGTATTTTATCCTTATTCTTAATATCAACAATGAAAAGGATTCCAAATGTCCTGTTATTGTCCTATTTGAATTTAGAAAAACATGCAGTGATTCAGGATGTTTAGTGCAGTGTGTCAGTACTAGCTCAGTCTTGTGGGCAAGTAGAATAGTATTGAATTCATCAAACAGCAGAGGGCTGATTTTTCTGTTCATCTTCAGTTGTATCAACAGCTTTCCTTTGCCAGACTCGGGTGATTGGGTCTTATTCTTTACAGTTGCCTTAATATTTTTTTTTTTCCTCCTTGGCCTGATGGTTAAGTGTCTAGGGTAAATGCCATTCCAGTCCAACTGTAAGAATAAGGAATTTAGGAGCTTGTCTTTGGTCAAGCAGAATTGTCATTTGCTATGAAATCTGAATTTTACTATTTTGTATATCAAAGTTAGAATGAACTGTGTAAAATTCTCAAATTCAAGTCTGATAATTTTGCATTCAGCTATCTCAATGGGTATTGTAAGATTTTCATTGTTCTCCGTACATGAGAAATTGAAATGAAGTCAAAGTATGCTTCAAAATGCCTTATTCTCTTTCATTTGTAACAGTATCTCAGGTGTAGCATCACAAAAATATAGGACACAACTTTAGAGATTATTTGGTTCCTTAATCTCAAAGGCAAGTCGGTGTAAGGAAAAACCCTTATTTTATCTCTTTCTCTGTTTTCTGCTTTATTGTCAGAAGACTATATATAAAAAACCCCAACTTCAGATAAAACATAACGAAAATCAAATCACTCTCCATAGCAAGGACTAATTTTCTTCTATTCTGGACACTTCTTACATATTTTATGTTTAATTTAAAATAAGTATTTTTAAAAAGCTGTAAAACTACTCTATCTGGATGCATTCATTCACAAACTCTAAAATACTGAAATATCATATTATATATATATATGAAAAAATGGATTATGGATTTGACTAGTTGTTAGTGATTTAATATTTACTCATTCGATTTTTTTCATAAAGCAATGATTTCATTGAGCATATAAAGTCACCTTTTACTATAATTTCAAAACCACAATAAATAGCTTTTTTAATAAAATGGCATGTAATAGCATATGTAATCCTATTAATTTCAAAATTAATCCATAGTAGAGTTGACAATATCAGCAAGACTGTAGCTCTTACCTTCCAATTTCATTCCAACACTTAGACACTTTTGAAATCGACAGTAAGGGCATCGTTTTCTCTGTGTTTTGTCAATCTGGCAATTCTGGTTTTCTATACATGTGTACCTTTTGTTATTCTGGACTGTTCGCTTAAAGAATCCCTGTATGATAGATACAAAAGTTAGCCTGTTTTGCTTGAATAGTGTGTTTCAGCATTTTATTTTATGGAAAACATTGTAACACATTTTTCAGACACCACTCAAGCACTTATGAAGTTGCACAGTTTATTTAAAATTATAGTGAGATGTACCCAGGAGAAAACCACCAGACTCCAGAGGAGGTTTTCTTGTGTTAGTGCTATGTTTTATAGACTTATGTCAAAGCTTGGTACGACTGGCCGTAGTGTCCTGTGCCCCTAACAGCGGTAGCAGAAATAGTGAGGCTGACCAGTTCCTTTTGTGTTCTTTAATCATTGCAAAATTATTAAAGTCTTCCTTTTACAGTAGCTTTACATGAAATAAACAGGGACACTGTTGCAAAGACAACAGAAATACAGAGTACCTCTGACTACTGTACATCCCTGGGGTGCTTGCTAGAGGCATAATAAGAGCTTGTTGTTCATTGATTATTTGTTCATTGATTATTTTAAAATTAAAATATAATGTGCTAAATTAATTTTTCCATGCAACTAAATATTTTAAATTGCATTGTTCTGGCAAAGGAGTTTCCTTTACAGTTCATTACTTAAGTAACTGTAAAGAACTTTAAAAAATGTTTTCATGACAAATTTGACATGTCATAAATTTCTAAGTATTTAAACCCTTTTAGTATAATAGAACCATGCAGATACATTTATCTTCCAACATGATAAGTTGCATTTACAAATATTTTTATTCTCAAAATTAATGAATCATTTAAAATCATACATTAGTTACTCGACTTTGTGTGTCGAGTGAGCTCTGGCAGTTAGTTTGTATGCAAAAAGTGCATGGTTGTCATAGACACTGAAATGTACGTTGTAATAATGAAGGATGAAAAAAATCTTAAGGCTGCATTAGATTTTACAAAGCTGATCTTTATGGAGGATACTTTTCCTACTTTATCCTCCAGGAACAGAAATACTCTGAATGTACATAAAACAACTAAAATCATTATTTAGGACACTTAGGAATGAAAGTTGTTCTAGAAATACATCACTTCACAACAGCAAAATACTTAAAAGTAACGATAAAACTACAATGCAAAACAGTCCGAGTTGTTTCCATTTGTGCAGACAAGATCTCTCATTCTAAATCCTAAAGCTTTTGGTGAATGTAATAAGAAGCATTATCAGAAATAAGCCAAATTATTTCACTTTTGTTTTCTTTATATTTTTTTTTCTTATATCTGAAACTTTTTTGCTGTACTTGTGTTTGTATGAAGTAATTAGTACAGAACCTTGCAGCTTTCACAAGTGAGAAGTCCATAATGGTACCCAGACACTTTATCGCCACAGACTGGACACAGTTCCTCAAGGTCTTCATCGTAAGAGTAATTCACCATTTTAAACTGAGACACTGGGGAAAGGAGAAATAGCACATTCAATTAGAATTGTCATTAAGAACCCAAATTTTCTGCAACTGTTCTTATCTAGAGAGAGCTCACACATACCATTGCAAGTTGGGGGGAAAAAAGTTTTATTTTCAAAAACACAGCTTGCATTGAGACATGCAACTTTTCATCAACAGCAAATCTACATGATGCTTAGCAAGTGGAGCAAACTCCCTCAGCTCCTCAGTTTTGTGTTCCAAATATTTATATTTACAGAGTGCCCTTAACCTAGTCCCTCGTTTATGGAATCACAAACTAAATCAGTTCTTTTAAATCCGAAAACTATCAGGGGCAAGCGTTAAAAAATCACAATGAAAAGACTGTATAACTTCTGTATTCAAGGGAAAAGAACTGAGTTAAAGTTTTCTTTCAACATCAGCCTACAACAGTTTACTCAGCCTAAACTTGTATCTTACAGACACAGCACGTCTGCGCCACGTTAAATGCAAGTTACTCACTTGTAGAACCTGCTTAAAAGAAGGTTCTCTGCGCCCCCCAAACTCGCTGTCTGGGGGTGACGGCCCCGGCTCCAAGCTGGCGCTCTCCCCCGCCCTGCCCCAGCCGCCGGGGTGAGCGCCGCATGCCCCGAGCCCCGGGGCTTCGCAGCCAGCGGCGACGGGGGAGACGCTTTTCGGGCCCCGTCGGCGCGGCTCGCCGCGGG